TAACTACCAGTCTATTTAATGAATCTTTTTCATTCATGATTTTGATTTCTTGGTTATTGTGAACCATGTCTCTATCTCAATTCTCAACTTCTGGCTTGAAACTTGAAAGAAAGAAGAAAGATTTTAAATTTGCTTACCTTGGTTTTGTTATTATGTCACATGAGGTTACATATTATTGAGAATCTTGTAAAAATGAAAAATACCTTGATAGATCCATGAATTATCATTTTCATGTAAGAGTGATTGCTTGATTGTGATGTTTTTAATGGAATAGATATTCTTGTTTTGGAGCTAATATTTTGTAGAGTTGCAGATATGATGTAGCTATTATCAATTGATTTTGTGTATTAATGTAGATCAAAATTGTTCAGAATTGGAAAATCTTGAAGAAATAAGTGATTGTTGTGTTTGTATATTATTGTTACATTGTGGTAAATCATATACTTATACTGTATGTGCTTAAATTAGAATAAGTGTTGTAGCAAATCTATGACTCATATACTTGTTTGAATCTGTTTTGTCTATTGAAAAGATATCCTTCTAATCTAGTTCCGTTTGACTGACCTTTCAGTTTTTTACGCTCTCTAGTAGATCTGTCATCTGCATTGTATTGTTTATAGTAGTGATCACCAACTACAATCTTACTTGTCGTTAGTGTGATTCTTAATTTGTCGTTAAATTGTCTTAGCTTTTTATCGTTTGTCATTTTCATTGCACATATTTTCTTAAAATTTGTCGGTAGCTTGCTTCTTAACGGATCCTCGACGCTAAGTCTACTGTCTTGACACATATGACCTTATAATGTATTGATTTGTCTTAAGTTGTTACCTCCTGTATGCTATTCACTTCTTACCTGTTCCGAAAGAATTGCCAATAGCTTTATAACTTGGTAATTGCAATTAGTTACATGTTTTGAAATGTATAAATTTAGGATTAGTCACTAAAATACATGAATATTTAATGTTATTGGTAGAAGAGGGTGTGAGTGCTCGTTTTAGGGTTTCCTGTTTTTTCACTCTAGTACCATTTTTTCCTTGTTAATATATATCAACTAGAATAAACTTCTACGTGAGGGTTATCATCCTTCTATGGGAAAAAATCTATGATTTTGTGTCACAGAGAACGCCTTTAAATACTATTTGAAGATTGTTTAGGTCGACGTGGCACTGATAGTCCTGACAGTATTGCTGGAGCGTGATGCGGTTGGTCATCCAACATAGTATTGCCCATAGAGTAGCGTGGAATCAATGGCCAAACTAAGACCTAAGACTGATTGATCGTGAATCTTATTTTAATTATTCATCATAAACGATATTGTTTCAATTATCCTTAACCTTGTCTTATGAATGTACTGTTTAAGTGTTTATTTTGTCTGTTGAATTTCTTGTTCGACAGGTCAAGTATTATGTGCTTAGATTGGACAGGGAGTTGTTTTTGTCTCCATGCTTCAGGATTTGTGAGCTTAGTACAGACAATGAAGTGCTGCAATATACATCAAAGGCAGTTTCTCAACGGAACTTGGAGGATTCTTAGTATAGTATGCTGTTTGTAATGCAACATTTAACTTCAGGTTTTGATAATAAGAAATTTTATATTGGATAGCTGGTAATGTAAGTAATGGTTACAGTGTGGTATTTCATATTTATTGGCTGGCCCGTAATTACAGTTTCTGGAAAGCATTGGATGCTGAAGCTTCTATGTTGGTAATTTGAATGGTAAAATGTTGTACTCTAACCATTAAAGCATCTGGTTTACTCTTTTGGACAGTTTGTACTTGGAAGATCTTTTCAGGTTCCAGCTAATGATATCTTTTAATTTGACAAGAGCAAGCAGTTTATCTATCAGATCCCAATCATTTGGTTTCTGTTTAAAGGATACACTAAGGTAAACGTATCTTTCCCACTCCACAATTTAATACACTCTATGATTTATTTCTAAAAATTTCAATAGTTAACAGTTAATACAGTCTTAAAAATGCTGAAGGTCTTCTGTGAGCAAAATGAGGAGATGCTGAGCAAAAGCAGATGCTTGTTACTACATAGCTGAGTGTCAATTGAATCAATCCATAATGTGTTCTCATAAATTTTACGAACTAGAATTCTAATTGTATCTTAGAAAATTTACCAGATGTAGTAGCTAGATGCAAAACCCAAAAAGAAAGATCATGGATTTCTTCCAAGAGGAACAATAAGTTTGAGAACTAACATTAAGATTAGCCTACAATATTGAAAAAAGAGAGAGAAAAGAACCATTAAGAAAAGAGATTAGTCTTTGGCTTTCTGTCTCTTTGGTGTTGTGGTTTCAGGATTCCTCGACCAAATTTCATTCTTGATTCATCTTCAGTATCTATATCCGAAAATGATGATGAAGCAGTAATGACTTTAAGGTTATCAGATCCACAACAATTAGAACTCATCAAATGTCGCGCAATTCGCCACCCAATCTTGCAAGGCAATGTCACACAACACCATAAAAAGGTTAACGGGCAGCAAACACACAAGACACAAGTACTAACAGCACACTCAGTGGCTCTATCGCAGCAGCATTTAGTGTGGTGATCAGCTTTGTTCACTGCAGAACAATAAGAAGATGAAGAAG